ATCTATTGAGGTTATAATATGTTTTTTTCTCTTCAATCTGTTAACATGATCAATAACGTTTACTGAATCACATATTTTGAGCCACTCTTATGTCCCAGTGATAAATTGCACTTGATGATGGAGTGATCTTTTAAATAAGTTGTTGAATACAATTTGTTAGTATTTTGTTGAAAAATTTTGAACCTCCATTCTTTAAAGATATTGCATCTTCCCCCCACCTTGCCACTGGGAATCCAACTCGGGGCCCTGCACTTGCCACTGAGCTATCTCTCTTGTGAGCTTTGGATCTTTCTTGTGCTATTTTTGGCTAGCTTTTATATTGGGATGGCATACTGTCCAACATCCAAATGCAATCTTACATTTTTCAAGATCTTTGGAAGATGTTAAATAGGAGAGGTATTGTTGTCTATAAATTTGATAAAATTTATCAGTGAGGCTATCAAACCCTTAATATTTCATATTTATATGTTTAAATTTTGTATATAATCTCTTTTTTGCATAATTAATGTCAATATAAGCTTTTACTTTCATTGAACTAAGAAAAAGTAGCTGCATATCTATCCTCTCTTGTGTATATGTATATATTTTTTCCTTCACCTTTTTTTCACAGCAAAACTGTCCTTTATTTACATTTTGGTGAAGTTAGTAACACATGACACTAGGTTGTCTAGCAACTGATAGCAAACTTTAACCATACAGAATGTTCATCTCAGGAGTGAGGCAGCTTGTGTGTTTTAGGCACTGGGCCAAGTCCCACCTTCATCTTCAAGTTTATTTTTCTTTATAGCTGAGAAATACTCCATTGTGTACAGATACCACAACTTTTTCATCCTTCTCTCTTTATCCACTATTAGTCTACTCTGATTTGAAATTTTTTCCTCTTTCAGTAGCTGTACACTATAGATTTCTAGGCATTTATCTAGTTCATGTAAGTGTCCGATATTGGAATGTATGTAATTGTTCATAATAAATTTTAATGATGCCTAGCACTTCTGCAGTATTGCTCAAAATTTATTAACCAATTAATTTGAATGTTCACACTTTTTTTAGTCTACCCATCATTTGTCAGTGTTAGTTTTCCAATGGAAAAACTTCCCCATGCTTATTTTTTTGAGTTTTTGTTTTTTCATTGTTCTTCTAATGCCTATTTCATTTATTTCTGCTCTTCTCTTTCATATCTTTTTCTTATAATAATTGTGAGCTTATTTTGTATTCCTTTTAGTTCCTTATAGAGCAACATTCAGCAATTTACTAGAATTTTTCTTCTTTTTTGTACATACTTTCTTTTACAAATTTCCTCCTTAAATGTGTGTTTCATGAATCTTATAACTTTTGAAGTGTTGTATTTCTATTTAGTCTTCTCAAGAGATTTTTATATTTTTCTTTGTCTATTCATTTGTTCAGGAATGTGTGCCTATTCTATAGCATTTGATTACACAGTTTAAATCACTTATATCCATACTACATTCCTTGTGTAGAAGCTGTAGGAGTTTTCATGCTCAATGGATGGATGGGCACTTTCCAGGAGGACCCCACAGGCCTAGTTTTACTGCTAGAAGAGTAATAAGTGTGAGGTACTTGGACTACCATCCAGCTCTTGGAGGTCTGCTTGCTCCCAGATGTAGGCCAGATAGGATCCTGATCCTCACATAATAACTAAAACAAGCATGCAGACAAATGCCTTCCAAGGAGTGATCTCAAAGTCTCTGTCTTTTCTTTGCAGTGATAGAGTAGGGGGAGGCAGTGTAGTACCTGGAAGTATATAAATTCATCTGGAACCACATCTTTAGTATAATCTTAGGGAGACAACTGAAGTCAGTGCCTTCAGTTGCCAGGAGAAGGTGGTTTAGGACTAGCCCTCAGATGAGACCTGTAAAAGCTGGGACACTCAAAGAACTGGTGGACAAAATACTAAGAAAAATTAGAACTGATTGTACCACTAATGTGACCCAAAGTAAATCCAAAAGAGAAGTGGCAGGCTCTTGGTGTGCCTGTGGGAGGCCCATAGTTTGTGAGCACCATTAATGCTGATGTGGATTGGTGAAAGCACAGCAGTTATCAGTTGTTGGATCACTGTGTTGGCAAATCGCTTGCAGGAGAATCTAAGAGCTTTGAATTTTGACTTCTACTCTGCTCTGAGATGAGGGTAAGAATACCCTGGAAGAGTGTGTACCACTTTTTCTGTGGTGCAGGGGGTCAAGAATGCCCAATTCTTTCTTTTCCCGGAGTTAAGGTATCCTATGTGATACTAGGTTTGTTTAGCTAGAAATTCCTTATACTTCAATTTTCCTTTTACATTTTTTCATCCACATGGCCCCTACTTTGCTTCTTAACTGTAACTTGCATGTTATAGTCAAAGATGAAGCCAATCTCTATACCCACTGGAAAACCCCACTGCAGTCCTTTCTGCAACTGCAGTGAGGGTCTTTAATGAAGACTATCATGTGATATCTTAACAAATAATTGAATAATTTTTAATTTAATATTTCTCAGTGCTCCTATAATGAATATTCAGAGACTGGAGAGTTTTCAAACACTTAAATATTTATTTATTTAAATATTTATTTATTTATTTATTTATTTATTTAGTACAGGGTCTATAGGGTCTCACTGCACAGATCCTAATCATAGTGATTCTCCCCTTTTCAGCCTCCCAAGCATTTCCTGGTCCCTGTGCTCTGCCTAAGCAGGAGCTTTAGTCTACTGAGTTATCTGGCTAGCTCACTTAAATTTATTTTTTTTTTCACATTTCTGGGAGCTTGAATACACAAAATAACATGTCACCATGGATTCACCCACTGTGAAACTTGCAGGGGAAAATTCTTTGTTGTCCGTTTCACCATCTGGAGTCAGCTCTCAATCCTAGCATTCATCAGCTGGAATTTCTCCAGACTCCTTTCTGATTTCACAGCATTCATACTGTATGGCTGCGGGTTTGGGGCTCTTAGAAGGACAACAGGTATATTGGATTTGACCTCTCACAGAACTAGGTAACGGCCCTGGGACAGCTTTATCATAAGTATTTACATCCAAAATAACTCCATTTCCAAAATGAGATCATACTGGCAACATCAAGTTCTAGACCTCTAGTACATGCTTTAAAGGACATATTTCAACTCACAAGGGCATAGAAAGAGCATTATGAATGGATTATGAGGAAACAAGTGCAACAGAAGCCAAGTGCCTGTGCAGGAGACTTGTGAAGATGCATATTTAATGATGGAGGTTGGGGACATTTCATGTGGAACCCAAAGGAAAAGCCTATGAATGTAGGAACAATAGGTTCCATGACTTGGGTGTGGTTTAGATGTCCCCCAAGAGTCCATTGTGATTGAAGGCTTAGTTCTCAGGGTGGCGCAATGGGGAGTGGAGGAAGTTTTAAGGGCAGGATTTCCTGCTAGAAATCATTGGGAATATGCACTCAGGGGACTCTGAGTTCTTAAAAGAGGATCGTTACCAAAGCTTAACATTGGGATGAAAGGTCTTTCTATTTTCTTCTTCACTGAAGATGAGACTGCCCTCACAGCCAGGGTGCGCTTCCCATCACCACAACTGTGCCAAATCAATGAGTAGACTAATCACTCCCCTTTGATCCCAGGATCACACACTGTAGATTCAGCCACATATGACCACATAAAGCTTTGAGAGGTGGAGGGGAGTATATCTAGATACAAGACATAAAACTACCTCAATCTGTTTGACATAACAATAAAAACTCAGTAACACAAGAGGAAGCTAAACATATTTCCACAGGAAAAAGTAGATGGATGACTATTTTAGGAAGGGATCCCTAGAAGAACAGGTCATATGCATTTTTCCTAGGTATGAGACCCTGAATATGGATTCTGGTACGATAATGACAATGATTTAATGTTAACCAAGAGAAATGACAACTAGATACAAGGGACCCACACAAGTAGACAAAGCATTAGGGAATGAAAGTAAAAGGAAGCTCCATAAGATAAATAATTCTCAAACCACGCTGTCTCTGGTGCTGTGCAAATACGCAGATGGATGAAACCTGAAGTTTTCACTATACTTCTGTGACATCAAGCTTTGTACATTCAAGCTTTTGTGAGAGTCACTCAATTGTGGGATATACAATGGAAAGAATAGTAATGGCCCTTACATATTCCTCAACCTATTTGGGTTGAGTGTTGTTCAGGGACCAGAGACAGTGCTAGAGGAAACTGTTCATCAGTGATATAAGTGATATAACAGGTGAGAAGACAGCATCACCGCTTTAAATTAGGGTCAGAGAGGTAGATCACAGTGGGAGTTTTCAGGTGAAGCAGAGTAGGTAGAGATAGCGGGAGGCTCTGCTGGAAAGGGGACAGACTGAGCAAGATCCCGGTCAATTTGGGGTGCTGCCTGTGAGAAGTACAGGTGGTCAGAGATTCAGGGGGCAGGGTATGGGAACATTTCTCACTCCAGAATGATGGAATGATGTGTAAGGGAGCCATAAGAAAAGCTTGGAAATCTAGACTTTGACAGTGTATTGAAGAAAAAGAAGAGGACTCTGGACTTAAATAAAATGGTGATTAGCAGCTGATGTATGGAAGTAGGAGAGCAAGATACACATGCTACCAGTGGTTTGTTTGTTTGTTTGTTTGTTTGTTTATGACTTGGAGCTTGGTTCCAGGCCAGGGAGTAATAGAAGTTAAGCAAGAGTGCAGTTCAGAATTGTCAGTCTCCTGAGAGGCACAGGGATGGCAGCTATGTGTCTCCCTGAATGGAACAAGAGTGGGCATCTGTCAGGACTGTTGATGATGCTCCTGCATAGCAAATATTTATAAATGCTCATGATGTACATATGTGTGTAGATCTCACATGCACAAGTGAAATAACTCACATGGCAAAGGTTAAAATAAGTGTTCAGTTTCCATGTTGGAGGGTGTTACACTTTTGGTAAAACAGTGGCAGTCAGGTCCTATATCCACAGGTCTTCTCTCTGGAGTGCAGGCATGGGAAGATCCCTGTTCCCATCACAGCCTGCATGGTTACAACTGATGTCTGGAGAAATGCAACAGTCTCCTAAGTGCGCGCCTCACCTCTTGGTTCCTGAGAGTGTAGATGAGGGGGTTCAGGGCAGGGCTCAATGCAGTGTACAACACTCCAGATGTTTTATTTCTCTGTGGGCTATAACTGGAGGCAGGACTGATGTAAGCACAGAACACAGATGAATAAAACACCAAAACCACAAGGAGATGAGAGGAACAGGTAGAGAAAGCCTTTCGCCTCCCTGCAGCTGAGCGCATGTGTAAGATGCTGGCCACAATGTAGCCATAGGACAGCAGGGTGAGTATTAAGTTGAGACATCCATAGAAGGCATCAGCCAGAAGCGTCATGATGCTGTTCACATATGTGGGGCTACAAGACAGAACTAGAAGAGGGGGGATCTCACAGAAAAAGTGAGTGATCACCCGGGGGCCACAGAATGATAACCGCATCATCAGAGCAGTGTTGACCGAAGCATTGAAGGCACAAAGGCCCCACACACCTATGGCCAAGGCCCCACACAGGCTGGGGCTCATCCTGGAGCTGTAGTGCAGAGGAAAGCAGATGGCCAGGTAGCGGTCATAGGCCATGACTGTGAGCAGCAGCAGCTCAGAAGATACTGACCAGACAAGGAAGAAGAGCTGGGCCATGCAGCCCTGGAAGGAAATGGTGTTCTCTGCAGACACGAGGCCCAGCAGAGCCTTGGGCATCACAGAGGAGGTGCAGACAATATCCATGGTGGCCAAGTTGCAGAGAAAGAAGTACATGGGGCTATGGAGGCCAGTGGTGAAGCTGATCAAAGCGATAATCACAGCATTACCTGTCAGTGCCACAGTGTAGAGGGACAGGAAGGAGGCAAGCAGGAAGAGTCTTAGCTCAGGGTGCTCTGAGAACCCCTCCAGCACAAACTCTGTCATGAGTGTCTTGTTGGTGTTTGCCATTAAGATGGAGAGCTGCAGATCACACACATGCCTGTTTGTAGTTCTTTGAAAAGGGTTTGTAGGTCTCAAATCTCATGCTCAGCTTTCCTCCCAGACATTCATCGTAACAGTCCTCCTCCTGTGAAAAAGGGAAAGAGTGACAGTATTTCCTTCATGGAACCATAATTGATCCATTGGGAGTCATGTCTGTCACCTAGTTTTCATTGTTCATCCTCAAATCTTTTGTCCTGTTACCTGTATTCCAAGGAGCAGTTACATCTTTCCTGCCATTCCACATGTGTAAGCCAATTGTAGCATGCCACACCCAAGAATAGCGAGGTCTTTATTTCTTTGTTATCTGTCACTGCTTCACACTGCAAATGTCCCACAGAGACTCATATGTGCCCCTCATCTATACACATCTGATCCCCATGGCATTGTTACCCACTGGTGGACACACTACCATAAGTTTTTGTAAGTTCCCCTGAAGCCGGGCTTCTCAGTCACTGCTCCTTCTCTGCTAGTTGGAGTGGGGCTCTGCTTTAGGTCCTTGGTCCTCCCTATTCTTGTGATTCCCACAACAGATCTTTGCACATATTTCCTCATACATGCTCACTGAGGTTTTTCCACTCCTGCGGGTGACACTGTCCTCTATCTGAGTTTTCTCATGTGTACTACTGCAGAGGGCCTCCCTGTTAACGCACATGCTCCTGTGGCTTTTGTGCCTTGAGAAACTATAGTGAGTTTTACCTCAGCGATCCCACAGGGATATCCACTGGTATCCACTGATTCCGTTTCTTGTGATTGTAATGGCAGTGCAGGGGTGCTCACCCACTTTTAGCATCCAATATGTAAGGATAGATGTTCTTCTGGGGCAGGGTTCTACCTGTCTTGGTCATTGGCTTATTTTTTACTTTGGGCCATAGTAGATTTCTACAAAATAGTTCTTCAATGAGCTAGAGTTGGTCTTTTCGACTTTCTTACCTCATTCCTCCAGTGATTATCAAACCTTGTAGGTAAAGCTTCCCAAATATTACAAATTCTTCCATTTCATTTCCTGAGTAGGCTCATCATTTCACACATTCTGTCATTTTCATGATAGTGGGTTTATCCTTCTAGGGCATTCCATGTTTTCTCCCCTAAGATGAGTATGTACCATTGTGATGGTTAATTACTTCACTGTTAATTTGCATGTGGAAAGCCCAAATGCATTGATTCAGCCTGGAAGATTGATTCTGGACATGGAAAATCCACTTTAGGGGTGTGTTGTTGGAGTAATAGAAAAAAATGTGGGCAGGATTTCAGCTGATTTTCTTGGGAAAAGAGCTTCATTGTTGCTGATTTTCCTAAGATCTGCTTCAGCTGTTCTCTTTGGAGGAGCTCCAGTCTGTGCCTGCACATTGGGTGCCACCTCCTGCCTTTCCGCCCTGCCTCCTTACCTTCTGCCATGAACTTGTCTATCTCCTGACACAACCTGCTCTTCCATTCATGGATCCTTAGGGCTCCTGATATAAACTCCTATGGGACATTGCAGTGGGCTCTAAGCATTCAGCTGGATCCTTTGGCTGTCTAATACCCAGACATATCTTTTGCACTCTTCTACCTTTGAATGTGTGGTTGACCACTGTAGGTCAATTTTGTAAATTTCTGTGTCCTGTATTAAAATTGATTCAGTGTAGTATATTAAACTATCTTAGCAAATTACAAATAAAGGCCAAAATGCATTTTAGTAACTATGACCACATTTATAATGCTAAATCATATTTTTTGTTAAGATATTGTAAATTAGGATGGTTTGGATAACTGTATTATGTATTTCTGATGGTCTACGGAAAGAAGCAGTTAATGTTTAATTTGTTTCATGTCCTTTATGCAATCAATTGTACTTTTTGTCTTCATAATTTCTTTCTTTTTTTCTTAATTTCTTATACATTTCTTTCTTTTCTTCTTTCTTCTTCCAATTTTAAATATTAAATACATATATCTGGTAATATGAATAACTGGTTTCAAGACAACACTATGTATTACAACAAATAGTGTGAAAATTCATATTACTTCGGTAAGTGATATTCTGTAACACTTGTAATTTTTTCTGTTCTATTTCTAATTTGTACTCTCTTAATAAAAGAAATGTAAAGGGAAAAATGTCATGGAAACAACCCAGGTGCTCATCAACTGTTGAAGGAATAAGGAAAATGTGATAGTTTTACATAGCAGAGTTGTATATAGCTATAAAACAGTGTAAATTTGAGTTTTTTTGTCCGTAAATGGATACAACTAAAAAACATACTCTTAAGTGAAATAAATCAGACTCACATGTGCAAATAAATATATTTGAATCAGAGCATGTGCAATCTTTTGAGAAGCTTTGCCACAGCCCTCCAAACTCCAGTGAGCAGTAATACAACCAAAAAATGACAGAGGACAAAACAAAAATATAGAAAACCTTGATAGTAGAATTCTATCTGACACTGCAAGCTAACTATGACTCTCAAATTAGTTAGCCGTCATCCTTGGTAATTCTGGGACCTGGAGCTCCTCCAAAGTGTTCTCCACCAGTAAGATGCATTATTGATTAACAGGGGCAGCTCATCTGAGAGGGCCACAGTGGCGTTTTTAAAGGTTTTCTTCCCAAAATCTATCTATATTCATAGTCTGCTAATCTGTGGTCCCTAATTGTGCCCGTTCTTCCCCCTGCTACTTCCCTGGACATGTCTTCTCTTTTCTACTCATCATTCTTTGTCCACAGCCAGAACACCCTCATCCTTAGAGATCTAGCTCAACCACAACTGAGCAATGTTTGCGAGGTCATCAATGTTTATGAGATGTGAACATTATTGTATTATTATTCTTTGCATATAAAGAGGTATGCAAAAATACTTTGATGTAAATTAAATGTCTTTGACAGTCTTTGCATTACATGTGAAACAGTATATTTTCATTCCTGTGGACATATTTTCCACAGATTATTGTATGAAACTGTTACAAACTGCATTGTGGATATCAAAACAAAAGATAGCTGTGACATGAAAGCTATATGGAATTCTAGATGTACAAAATATCTATGTATTTATATTCTCAGGAATTATGACACCAGGATAATAGGATTTATATTTTCCACTTATTTGCTCATATTTTTACATTGTTACACTAAAAATTTTAGTGCAAACAACTCTATTAAGTTGGATGATGGAAAAAAAATAAGCTATACATTTAAAAATTAAAATCAAAGAGATAGCTCAACCATGCCTTGGTTAATGGGCTCTTTTTCTTCTCCTAGTCAAAGCCAACCCAGAGAAACTGACCACTTTCCCTTCTTGCTCCATAATGAATATCTCTGTTTTAAAAAATCATAATTATAATGACAGTTAATTTTCTTTTGGTTCCTCTGTTTTTCTAAAAGATTTTAGATACTAGGGCCACAACTTATTTCCTTTGGACACTAACTAATAGATAAAGAGCACCATAATTCCCATATTTTCCCCTACACTAAAATGGGAATATGGGAATATCAGCTGCATCCCATATATTCGTGCAGGCAGTGTCTTTGTCTGACTGTGCTTCCTGGCTGCCACAGGAGTAGAAAGACACCTTTGTCTCTTCAATACATTAGAAATCTCGTATAAATACTCTGTTTTGAAATCCAATATCACTGTAAGAAATCTAGCCAACAGAAACAACTTGAATAATTCAAAAATGGTAGTAATATGCCCTTAAAGTTCAATAGTTACCTTGGATGTAAGTGGATTAAATTTTCCAAACAAAAATATTGAGTAATATCATATGTTTTAAAAAAAAACAGACAGCAATATACTATCTACAAAGACTCACTTTACCTTTTTGGATGCAGAGCAATAAAAAGGACAAGAATGGGAAAAATATTCTATGCCAACCTAATCCAAAGGAAAGCACAAGTACCTGTACTAAATCAAATAAACAGGAGTTTAAGTCAAAACTCTGAAATACATTAAGACCAACTCTTTATAACACAAAGCATACTTGAACTCTACTTTAGAACAAATGGATATTTGTAGAGGTTAAATGTACAGCGCATTCCATCCAATAGCACTAAATACATATTCTTCACAAATAAATGCAGAGAATTCTCCAGGACAGATAAATTATAGGTTACAAGGCCATTGTCCACAAGGTGGAGAATATTTAAATTACATGAAGTTCTTTAATGTCTACAGTGATATAAAATTAAAAACCAGTAACACAAATATTTTTGCTAAATTCATGAGTATGTAGATATTAAACATCTTCATGAACAACTAATGAGAAAATGAACAGAAATTTTTTAAGCCTAGAGGTAAAATGCCTGAGTGTGAATTTTTTAATCAGCAGGGAAATGCAATTTAAAATCACCATATTATCTTTAACTTTTTCAAATGGCTAGAACCAAAGCCATAGACAAGTGAATGAGTGTATGAACAAAAGGAAAACTTTATACAACGTAGATGGGAAAGTCAATTTTTAAAATGTACTTAAAAGGCTGGGGACATAGTTTAGAGGCACAAGCACCTGTCTGGGAAGCTCAAGGTCCTGAGTTAAATTCACAGTAGCACAACTAACTAACTAACTAACTAACTAACTAAAAGTATATAAAGTTCTGAAAAATTTAAATTTAGTTCCACTATATAATCTAGCCAAATCATCATTACTGGGAACATATCCAAAAATAATACAAGTATGTGAATGAAA